CCGGTCTGTATGACAGATGTGGCTCTCAAAAGGACTTTTTTTTCCCTGTCAATTTGAATGCCTGAATAGTTTCGTAGTGAAGGAGATGTTCTTCTACAAATGCAAGAAGTTTAAAGCTGAAAAATTAAGCCCATCACCGTCAGTTCATCCCAGAAAGTGACTGGCTTTTGTTGATTAATTCTTTGACCCTTATGTATACCGGTCCAGTCATTAATTATTGAATCTGCCAAGATTCTGCTTTAATGAAGAAATCTGGTTAATAAGTATAAAATAAATAAAATTATTCAGGCCCGTAGAGCATATTGCAGGATTCTGAATATAATCCAACCAAGGCATAGATGATGATGATGTTGATGATGATGATAACGATAATAGGTTAATCTTCAATTCGATTCATAGTCTGGGACTGGTAAAAACTTAACGCTCCTAACCAAGGACCCAAGAACTGTTAAGGTAGTGTATGAGTATATAAGAAGCTCCGAGTAAGGTGGTTTTTTGTTTTTTGCACACTCAGAATATTCATGTCTAATAAGTTCAAAATTTCCACGTATCCAGGCAGCCCTTTGGGCATTGCTCCCAGGGCTCCTATCAGTATTGGTAGAACCATTGATTTCTTTTCTGTGACTAAGAAATAATGACACTGATGCAGGAAAATATGTTCCCTTCCATTACCACTGTCTTCATCATCTGAAGATCCAGAGACAATGCAGGATTCAGAAATATCCTTAAGCCCATCCACTTGTGACTTTGTCATGGGCTCGTCGTTTGTGTTTTTGCCCACTGAACACGTGGCTTACAGCTGAGTGAAAGTTGTCATACTCAAACCTAACACAAATCATCAGCTCTATAATATGATTTGCTCAGTGCTTGACAGCCCCCTGCCTTCTTCTCCCCCCCCCCACAGTTAACGTAGCCATTTTAAGCAGGAAGTTAAAGTACATTTATAGATCTGTGGGGTCCTTGGTGATTTCTGAGCTTGGTTGTGTTCTTGCCAGACATTTCATTACCAAAGTAGGTAACATTAACAGGACTAGAACTGATGATGAGGTTACCTAATTTGATAATGAAAAATCTGAAGAAAACAACCAAGCTCAGAGAGCACCAAGGACCCCACATTTCAACCCTGAGTTATATTGTCGTCTATTGGTACATTTATAGAGTTCCTGATGGGCAGCCAGACATACTTGGCTGCCATGACCCATTTAGATTGGCAGGTACTAGAGCCTATGTTTGTTTTAAATACTATACCTGGGAGTGACACAGTATCTACGGTAACAGGGGAACTAGGAGTTTGTCAGCTTTGCAGGTGATTTTCTTGGGAAAAAATATGGGACAAACCAGAAAAAGGGGCAAATCTGAAAGAGGTTCATAGGGTTAAAAAAATATTATGTATGTTTATAACTTTGTTTTACAAAGAAAAATTCAAGAGTAAAATCAAGAAGAATTAGTGTCCATTTACAGTTATGACCGTGTTGAAAAGGTAACATTGGAACCATTCCTTGCATTTTTGACCTTTGCCTGAATGTAAAGCAAAAGAAAACTGACGTAAGATAATAAGCACAGTTGTGATATCACAGTTATTGCTTTGTTTAGTGAAAAAGTTGCCAGTTCCACTTATGGTTGCTAATGTGGGAATACTTGTATATATTGTACTGTATATATTTCTTCTGCAAATTGGAGGGGTGTTGTGATTTTGAGCAGAGGGACTGTATTTGTTCTCTGGGATAAAAAAGTTGGCCCCCAAATATATTTTCCATTTTCTCAAGGGGTTACCGTGCAGGCGGACAAGGATATGAAGATGACCTTCTCTGTCCTAAAGTAGTCTGAATTAAACTGAGCCATTAACCTAAATCTGTGTCATATCTGAGTGAGTAAGAAGAATACACCTGCTCTAATTTAAGGAGGACTATCCTATTTGACAGCTCAGTGGAGCAGTATATGGTAAGGATGTTGATGAAGGATGCTGAGGTTAATATTAAGGAACAGAGGAAGAAGAAAATCAATATTCTAATCTTTTAATAGTAAACACGAGTACCTGGAAGCTGATTAATTCAGAAGCAAAAGAGGACCAACAAAAAAAAGATAGAGTAGTTTTAGTACTTGGGAATGTTCTAAATAGTCAGCAATATTTTCTTTTTCTTCCTAGCAAGTGGAGTATAAGCACATATATCTTAAAAGAACATCTAAAAATCAAATGCCTTTAAAGATAAGACTTACAGAGAGCAGTACTGTCAGCTGAGCCTGAGATATCAAATCAATCTAAATTTACATTGAATGGATTTATATATTATTCCATTTCCTTACATTTTTCTGATTTTAAAAAAATGGCAAATTCTTGTTATGTGCAATTTCCACAAATACGTGCATTTTTCTATGCAATTTTTCATAATGAAAAAACTTCTAATAGAAACCTCTAACAAATTCAGCTGTGTGTAATAATATAGGTGGCTTTCAACTCAGAACCACAACTGAGACCAGATTTTCCAAACAAGGTGGTTGTTAAGTGAGCCACATCCAATCATATAACCTCCTTTTTTTGCCATGGTTGTTAAGTGATTCGCTGCATTGTTAAGTGAATCATATGGTTGTTAAGTGGATGTGGCTTCTTTTCCCATTGACTTTATTGTCAAAAGCTGGCTGGGAAGGTTGCAAATGGCAATCACACGACCTTGAGATGGTACAATCATCATAAATACACGCTGGTTGCCAAGCACTCAACATTTGATCGTGTGATCATGGGGATACTGCCACGGTCATAAGTGTGAGGATCAGTTGTAGCTCTTTTTTTTTCAGTTCCACTGTAACTTTGAACAGTTGCTAAATGAATGGTTGTTAAGATGAGGACTACCTGTACACATTTTTTGTATGTACTTGTAGCCCCCCTTTTTAATGTACATTTTTAAACCATGTCTTTTAAATTAATTTTGGAGGCTAGGGTAATCTGTTCAGTCCTGTCTGCAACAACTGATCCCAATTTCCTAAATCAGACTATTCTATCTCAATATGTGGTAGATTTCTTTTTCTTTGCTTTGCCACTGTAGCAAAATTCTTCATTTTCCTATGCAAGATTCCAGAGTCCTGAGATTTCCCAGTTCCATAGACATTTTTTACTTCTCCGTGCAGTACAAAAAATGTGAAAGATGGGGAGAAGGGAAATCGATCTGTTTAAATTCCCCATCTGTGAACCATTTTACTGGCTCCTATCAATTGGAATCTAGTCTACTTGCTTTATGTGCCCTTCCTTTCCTCTGACTCCATGCATGCTAGCTGTTTAAATATCTACTACTGGAGGAGAGCCCGCTCAGCCCCAGGTTTTATGTATTTGCTGGCCCATGAAAAATGAATGTGTGCTCTCTGTCTCTCAGTTTCTTCAAAAATAATACCTGGGTCACTGGAGGCATGCCATCTGGGGAGCATCAATTTGGCCAGCTGCAGAATGCAAGGCACTGAAGCAAATGTTTGTCCTTCTCTTTCTCACTTCCCACTCTAAAAAATTCCTTAAATAAAATGTCTATGATTATATTAAGTTGGTTGTCCAAAATAAAGTTTCCATTTTGATCGAAATCCAAACTTACTTTGTTGGCTTAATTTTGATCCCAAATACCTTTCTGTTGAAACATATAATGTCTTGTTTAAGCCAGCTCTTGCTACTTAAACATAAAAGAGAAGCCTAGATTTAGAGATGGGCAAGGTCTACATATATACCTGATTTTGGTTATATTCTAGAAGCTGGCCCAGCCCATGTAAGGGCGTTTCTTGCCCTTTGCTCAGCATGGTCCAGAATAAGCAGGAGAAGAACAATTCTGTCCTTTGACCAGCATGACAGCGTCCTGTAGACTGGTTCTCCTACTTCTGACACAAAATGACTTAGATGTGGACTTAGTGGTCCAAATATGTTTTAGGAGTAGATTTTTGATCCAGCAAATTTCTGGTATGTTTTTAAATTAAAGATTTGTAGAAAAGTACCAGATCATTGCAGGACACAAATAGGAGTTATATCTTCCAAGAAAGGTTGAGGTTGAACTGTATATAAATAAGGAGCAAACCTCACCCTCACTAGTATTGATAATATTGCCCAGTCAGGTAATGGGATGTCTGCAAGCAAACCACCAAGGACAAAATGCACCAAGGACTCCTAAGAATACACATTCCTGAAAGTTCTAGGAAATAAATAGCTTCTCTTGTTTTTACTTTTAAGTATGACAATTAAAAAAAAAAACCCACAATATTCTATGTTTTGTAACTCTTCACCATTTTGCTCAACAGCTTTAATTGCTACACTACTTCCGTGGAGATACAACCTGTGTTTACAGGTTCATTCTGGATGAAGTTACACAATAACTTGAAAGAGCTTTTGTTCAATCATTGGTCTCTCTTCTGAAAAGAAGTGTTTTTTTTTTTTAAAAAAAAGCATTCAAAAGTTATTGTTAAGTGTTAACTGAGGTATGAGAATAGGGAAGGGAGAGGGGGCCTTTGATCTCCACTGTTGTCACAGTGCACTTCAAGAACCAAACATGTTTCAGTGAGTTTAAGCTGCCTTGTCCTGTTGCTAAAGTCTTCAGCAAAAGAAGAAAATATAATAAGACAGGTACTAGCTCTGTCTTGAAGATGATAACTTTGTGAATGGGTAATGTAAGAAGAATTCAATGTTTGTAAAAGCAAAATCTTCAGTAGTTGTTTCTTGCAGATAAGCTCTTCAATGGAAATTGAAATGAAATAGGTAATAAATGTGATACATATGACTCATTCCCAAAGTATGAAGTAGCTACATGTAATGGATGAAACCACTTAAATGAATATCATGCCTGAAGACTTGCAAGAAATCACTTGCAAAGCTGACAAACTCATAGTTTCCCCAGCCCCGATCCTATATTTGATAGCAAATCTTGTTTGAGACTAGTAGTCATGCCTGCCCTCAGGAGATGATATAAGAAGGAATTAGCTGTTATTTGGAACTGTCTCCTAAAACCATCATTTTAATCTGTTTATCTCTCCAACAGAAATCCTTTTGGATACAACAGGAGAGACCTCTGAGATTGGATGGACCGCCCATCCTCCTGACGGGGTAAGTGCTTCCCTTCATTCTCTTTTGCTAGAAATTGGCCACCCTCTCAAAACCTGGTAATGTGCTCTGCACACAACAAATACACACAGAGAAACCAAGGTGTAATGGCTGGGATTTCAGATGGTATCCCCCTTCAGAGTCAATGGAGAAAACTAGAAAGGGTTGATTGCTTTTCTTTCTGACTATTATTAATTTCAGCCAAGTCTTTGGATCTTCTGTCTTGGACAGGATTCTTCTCATAATATATCCACAAAAGGCAATAGATTAGTTTTGTGGGTTTTTTTTTTTTTTTTTTTTTTTTTGGTTATTTCTTTAAGAGCTACCTTTTGTCTTCTTCAAAGGAGCATTGTAAAAAGTATTGTCAGAGAGCCACAATGTTGAGTGCTGAATAATTGTATTTTTCCCCTAGTTTGGGCTGATATAGTGTTTCCTTGACTCCATGCACACTCAGTCTTCCCTTGACTCCAAGGTGTTCCTTAACTCCATGCTAATTATACTTGCAAAAGAGAATGGACACCCATATTTAGAGTCTGGTCTTCAGACTCATTTGGTAGCCCCAGATTGAAAGAGAAAGAAACTATATGACAACATAGCATTTCTCCAGCAGGATGGCTGTAGAGTCCAAATGGATGGGTTCTATGACGGCCTTCCTGCCTGGCAGACTGGGTAAAAACTTCGGCCACACCCCTTCCTTTGGGCGTGACCCCAGTTTTGACTCAGTCTCGAAGCCTGGTAGAAGTGCGAGAAGCAGCTCTTAGGAAAGAAGAGTTTTCACAAAGAAAAGAATATCCTCTTCCAGTTTTTTTTTTTTTTTTCCTCCCCTTTTTGCAGCAGGCAGGGATCCCGGGCAGAGGAATAGAACACCGACGCCTCCCAGCCAGGATCGTCGGAGTGGTGAGAGGATCGCCAGGGCGGTTAGCCAGGGGGGCTCGGGCCGGTCAGTGGATCTTCCGCGGATCCCGCCAAACAGCTGTTTGGCGCGGGGACATTTCCCGGACCACCCGCCGGGCAGCTGAGTGGCACGGAGGCCACTCGGTCCGGCGGAGGAGCTGAGGCGCCGTTCAGCGCCAAACAGCTGAGCGGCGCGGGAAAACAGAGCGCTGATCAGCTGAGCGGCGCGAGAAGCGCAGCGCGCCCAAACCGACCGGCAGAGCCTCAGCGCCGTTTTTTCTCCCCCAGCGGAGAGGCACAGCCCCCTTAAGGACAAAAGAGCCATTCAAGCCGGTTAATTACCCTATTGCTGGCTATTAAAGACCCGCCATTGTTGGAGCCTCGTGGCTCATCCGGCTACTATTGGGAGGCGGGGCTTCCTCCCATTCGCCATTTTAAACAAGCAGTTTAGCCGCCGCTTTTTTCCTTTACATTAAGACACTTGGGCAAGAGGAAGGAAGAGGAATAAAAGATTAGAACCTCTATCAGTTCTGAGCGTGGTCTGCTACCACAGCCACAGACCGGGGGAGAGAGAGATATAAACTGTACTTTTGTCTGGACTAGGTGAGGAGGTGAGGAGGAATATTTTTTCTTTTCCTAACTGTTCCTATAGTGACCTTTAGTCACTGCCTTGCAGGATCTTCTGTCCAAAGATTCCTGTCTGTCCGGCCATTGTTTGTATAGGCAGAAGAGGGCACAGCCCCAAGCATCTGCATCTGATCTGCGTATCTCATTCCCCCTTTCCAGGCATTGCCTACTCGGGGTGTCTGGCACAATGGCAGACAATGTCTCGTATTCAGTCACACAGGTCCCTCAATTGTCCCCCCCACAGCAACAACAAAAACGCAGATCTTCTGAATCAGAGGTGGGGGGGAAGAAGAAAGCTAAAACAAAGCACCTTTCTCAGAAGGGACAGTCCAAAACGGCTGAGCGAGAGGCTTTGAGGAGACATTTGGCTTTAGAAAGGCAAATTAGCAGAGCACAGAGAACCAATGTCAATGGGACAAATTTGGTTTCCCCTGTCCCAGGGGTGGCACCCAGCACAGAACCTACTGCCGAGGAAGTGCTCAAGACTTGGTCTCCTCCTGGGGAAACTGAACAGTTAGATTCCTCCAATCCCTCCTCACCAGCTTCTTCACCCGACCACACTCCAGCGCCTCACCCCAACGACAAGGCGCAGGAGAACATATGGTCGGCACAATTTCATGCATTCATGCAGGATGCATTCTCCCAGTTCATGGCTTCTAAGGGGCAAGTGGCCTTTCACACACCCCGTAAGGGACGGGCTAGGCCGCCCCCTACCAGCATCTCTGAAACTTCCTCTCAATTGGGAGAGGGTGACTCAGTAGACCTGGACATGTCAGACATGCCCCTCTCGGAGGACGAGGAGACCGCACCTGAGCAGGCGACAAGCTCTGGCCTCTTTAACCCAGCGCTCCTAAAATCACTCCTGATAAAGGCAGTTTCCACAGTCAACCTAACATCAGTACAGGATGAGAAGCCCTCAACAAGCAAGGAGGCCAATCCTCTATTTGCCAAAAAGGTTCCACAGGATAAGTACATCCCATGTGCGGAGGTCTTTATGACCACGCTGGAGGAACAATGGTCCTCACTTGCGAGCCCACCGGCACCTAACAGCGCGGAAAGAAAGCTTTTCAACCTATCTCCCTCCTTCTCTAACATGTTAGAGGTTCCCACTGTAGATAACCCCTTGACCTCATTATTTTCTACCTCCGCGATTCCAGGAGACATGGCGGAGGTCTTGAGACCTGAGGAGAAGAAATTTGAACACTCCCTCCGGCGTTCCCATATGGCCGCAGCCTGGGCGGCCAGAGCAGCCACTTCATCATCATTCTTCGCGAGGGCCAGTATCATGTGGCTGAGGGAACTGCAAGGCACGGTGCCTCCAGACCAGGTCAGAGTACACCAAACATTGGCCAAGCTCCTCGCGGCCTCTCAATTCGTGTCTGACGCTTCACTGTACGCAACAAAGTATGCGGCAAGGTCCATTGCGGCCACAGTGGCCTCGCGAAGGCTACTGTGGCTCAAAAATTGGAAGACAGACCTGAGGTCCAAATGGCGTCTTTCGACGTCCAAATACAGTGGAGAAGCCCTGTTTGGTTCCATTCTGGACCCACACGTCAGCGAAGGCAGAGACAAGAAAAAAATCCTAGTGCATCCATCAAAGAAGTTAGACAGGAGAGGCAGTCAGGACTTCCGGAGACAGGGCTCCCGCCCAGGAAGCCCCTGGGAATGGAGACAGCCCTTTCGATCAGGGCAATCCTGGGACTGGCCCAGAGGCTCACGATCCTTCTATCCGAGACAGGATCGAACCCAGGATCGCCAAAGCCCGGGAGCCAGAGGCCAGTTCCAGTCCAGACGCCCATATAGGGGAGCGGGAGGCAGATCCTTTAAGCGTACCAAGTGACGCCAAACAGGACACTCCCATCGGGGGTCGGTTAGGAAACTTCATCGAGGTCTGGGAGCAGACCACCACCGACGCCTGGGTCTTGGAAACGATCAGGCATGGCCTGACCTTAGACTTTTGTTCTCCCCCACCAAGCCGGTTCATCAGATGCCCCATCTCCAGAAAGGTACACAAGACGAGGCTGATAACTTCGGCCATAGCTCACCTCCTGTCAATTCAAGCCATAGAGAGGGTACCAAAGGAAGAGGAGGGAAGAGGATTTTATTCCATCCTCTTCGTTATTCCAAAGACATCAGGAGGGTGGAGAGCAATATTGGACCTGAAGGGCCTGAATCATTTCATAAAGTACAGGAAGTTCAAGATGCACTCATTGAAGTCCATCCTAGCCAGCGTCAGGGAAGACGATCTATTATCCTCAATAGATCTCACAGAGGCGTACCTACACATTCCCATCCATCCCAGCTACCGGAAATTCCTCAGATTTACCTACGCGGGCCGGCATTACCAATACAGGGCCTTACCCTTCGGACTATCTTCAGCACCAAGGGTATTTACCAAAATCCTAGCTGTAATAGCAGCCCATCTCAGGCTGATGCCGGTTCGCGTACAGTTTTATCTGGACGACATCTTGATTCAGTCCAGATCTCAGGAACAAGCAAGGGCAGATCTCAAGACCACGATCCGAACCCTACAGGGGCACGGATTCTCGGTCAATCTAAACAAGAGCCACCTCATTCCCTCAAGGAGACTGCAACACCTGGGCGCGGTGATAGACACGTCACAGTGCAGGGTATTCCTTTCCCAGGAGCGACTGATCAGCATATCCAAGCTAATCCACCAAATTCAAAAGATCAGGAGAGTGCCCTTGCTACAACTCTCGAAGCTCCTGGGGAAGATGATATCTTGCATGGGCATCATCCCATGGGCAAGGCTCCACTCGAGGGAGTTGCAGTGGTTCCTCCTACCCTACCAGAGGAGGAACCTCAGCACCTCCAGCAGGAGAGTGCCGGTACCAGCACAGGTGATGAAATCACTAAAATGGTGGCTATCCCCCATGACACTCAAGGGGAGCATATTCAGGGAACCGAACAGGGTCACGCTCACGACAGATGCGAGCCTGTTCGGATGGGGAGCCCATCTGGGGACCCAGATAGCACAGGGCCAGTGGGGTCAGAAGGACCTGTCACACAGCATCAACTGGCTAGAGCTCCGGGCCATACACCTGGCCCTCCGTCATTTCTCACACCTAGTAACGAGGAGGCACGTCCTCGTGCTTACAGACAATGTAGCAGCCAAGGCGCATGTAAACAAGGAGGGAGGAACGAAATCAGTGGAACTAATGAAGGAAGCATTGGCTCTGTCTCGGTGGGCAGAAGCCAATGTGAGTTCCATCAGAGCGGAACACATCTCAGGGGAGACAAACACCCAGGCAGACTCCCTGAGCAGAGCCAAGGTGGACCAGTCGGAATGGCGTCTGGACCCGGCTCTCTTCGAGGAGATCTCCCGGAGGTTCGGACAACCGCACCTAGATCTATTTGCCAACCACAAGAACACACAGCTCCCCAGGTTCTTCTCCAGATTCCCGTCCCCGGGATCGGAGGGAACGGATGCTCTCAGGTGCCGGTGGCCGGCGCAACTCCTG